TGTAAAGCATGCTCTGTCACACACTGAGACTCTGCTTGCGTGATTAACCACTGGTTTTCTGTTAGCATGCATTATTGTTGTTCTGTTTTGTAGTAATTAGAATTTTCAGCCTTTAAGATGAGAGCTGTGTCAGGGTGACACGGGCATGTAGGCGTGCCAGCCAGCTCCATGCACGCCCGGCTCTCATCATAGTGGTAATTTTGTTATCTAATGCGTGCTGGATTTAGTTTTGCGTGGAAAATAATGTGTTTCACAGTAACAAAGAACTCTTAATCTTCACTGTATGAAGAGCGCAGTTATAAGAGCTGCAGCACACAGTGTTCAGTGGATTCTCAACCGGACTGATTTAATGTTTTAAAAACTAAAAAAAACAATTAACTATCATTAACTCGTTCCCCATACAGATGACATTTGATGAGCTCCCCGGTAATCATGAGTACCCCGAGTATATATTAATAACAACCAGGTTTGACGACTATTAGAAGAGTTTCCAGGTTGTTCAAAGGGTAACTGCATTGGCTGAGGTGCAAAATCAGTCATTTTCCTCTTTAATTAGTCTGAGATATGATACAAACTGCTCAAAGATCAGAGTACAACTTTAACTTTTAATACATACAAAGCAAAGCTCAGCTTGTCTGCAAGCTTCTTTGCAACCTCCTTTCATGCTTCGTCTGTTCTATGCAGGCATCTTGCTGCTAAGCTGTGCTGATATACATTATTGCAGCTGGAAATGACCGTCTCTGTATTAACAGTTAACGCTGATAGTCTCTTCAATGAAAAATGATCAGCAGGATATTCATTTGGAGACATTTTTATGCTGAAATCCCACATTTTCAGTTCTTCTTTTTAAGAATATTCACTTGTCGTATCCTGACCTCTGGCTTGCTGTAGATTTATTCCCATGCTTCCCCCACATTTTCTTGTACTGCTGTGATTAAATATTACAATCAGCTCTTTGCCCAGCAGGAAAGGCATCGTTATGGATGAACCTTGGAAATGTTCTAGAAGTTTCCCAGTCGCTGCCTGGAGCTGATAGTGGTCTGACCTTTAAAGAGGTAGGTCTCCAGCCAGAGTTTGAGGCCTATAAGTTGGCAGTCACACCTCCAGGGGTTGCTGCGTAGTGCAAGGCTGTCCAGGTGTGTCAGGGCCTCCAACAGGGAACGATCTAATCGTGTCAGCCTGTTGTGTGCTAGCCCCAGGTGGCTGAGGTTCCTCAAACTGTCCCCCATGGCTCCAGGCAAACCCCACAGGCTGGTGAAAGGGAAACGAAACAAAATAAAATAAGAGTCATGCCAAATCAAATCAGGGAATGTGACTTTTTTCTAGCATCAAGGTCTAACCTGTTGTGTGAGAGGTCAAGGTGTGAAAGTGAGCGGATAGGTCCGAGCAACCGCTTGTCGAGCTCCCTCAGGTTGTTGTGAGCCAGGCTGAGTCGCTGCAGCATCCTCAGCCCAAGCAGAGCAGTTGGCGAAATTGTTGTTATCGAGTTATTCGATATATCGAGAATGCGAACGAGGGGTATTTCCCTGAAAGCCATTGATCCAAGCCCCCTGATGCGGTTATCTTGAAGGTATAATTCCTGGGTGTCTGGATGCAGCCGTCGCGGGATGTCGTACAGTCCTCGACCCCGGCAGTCTACTGCTTTGGTGTTGCTGTTGCAGCTACACTCCTTCGGACAGGCGTGTGACAGAGACAGGAGTGAGAGGACAGCACACACCAGTATCGCTGTGGGAACAAAGGCACACATTAGTGGGATATTTGCAGCTGCGCGTCAGAGATGAAGGTGCTCTGTAACCCTTCATTCTACAGCTTTCAAAAGTGTTCAATACTATCCTGCAGTACTGTTACATAATTGCAATTGATTCACACCACACTGTTACAGTCTAGTCTCCATGTAAACAAAACAGCGTTCGATGATTTGCAGTTTATTTTGTCACTATATTATCTGTAGTGTATAATAACAGAAATAACATATTTTAATCTGGGAAAAACAAAATACAGGATTGTGTCATTTTTGACTTGAATATGTAACTTTTTCTTTGTTTTTTTGTATAATAAACAAGAAAGTAAACTTCTGCTAATATGCCGACTCCCACCTCCCACCCCCTTAGACAGTGGCCTTTGGTGACTTTGCCAAAGCCTCGTAACCCCTCACCCACACACAAATCCATACGCAGCACATATTAGGTGTCTGATTCCCTTTGAGATAACTTCACGTCCATTCCTTCTGGAACATTACAGCAGTATTTATAGCTTTGGCTTGACTAGCTCGAGGCTCAATGAAATGAAGCTCTGACCCAAGCCTGTAAATGTAGCTAGCTCACAAGTCGCAAACATATCTGCTGAATAGATGGATTTGCTGCATCGCATCTGTTTTCATAGGAATAGAAGCTCCATGTTCCTCTGATCAATTCCAAATATTTTTTATTTATTTACCCTGCAGGAGCTCTTAGCCTCATAAAAACCCTATAATCATGTTAGGCAACACTCTGCAGCCAACAACACAATAAATAACCGACCACAAAGGAACGTTAGCATGAATTAAGTAGCAAAACATAATAATTTAAAACATTCTGCAGTTTATCTCACCGCTACATTCTTTAAATAAACCACATTTTAACGCCGTCTTCTATTTTCTAACATGCAGTTAAAAGCATGAAAGCATCATTTTATCTTTGTTTAGCTGGTGGACTTCTCCGATTACGTTGTACAAGTGTGGAGATATCCAGGCGCAGGTGCTGTAATGTCAGGTGTTTGTTTGGTACGACGGCTCTTGGCGGTGTTGCCTTTGCAGCTTTTATTTGACTTGCCCCAAACAAAGCGCATCATAACATGTAGCGTCAACGTAGCGTTGAGATTTAATACAGTGCAACGACCTGTGATGATTGCATCCTTGTTACTGAAACGACCGTCCATATGCAAGAATGACTTCAGTCACATGTGATCACAAACAGTCCTACTTCCAGTGAACATGCACGCACGAGCACAGCAGCGGCTCTTTGACAGCATTTGTGCAATGAGATCAAGCAAACAGAGAGGCACTTTGCTCTGATGTGTCCCTGCAGCACAAAGCACCTACAAAGAAGTTTTTCATGACAAACACAACCTACAGCATCACTTTAAGTTGTGCTGGTATAAAAGCATTTAACTGTTTTTATTCAAAAGCTTTCGTAAGCAACCCTTTTCCAATAGTCAGGGAGCAGTTTACATAATGTTCTAGTGTAACAGCCTTTCCATCTACACACACACACACACACAGACACACAAATGCTCTTTATGCTGTTTCCACCGATGGAGCACCTACCTCTCATTTCTGCCAGTCGTCTTTGGGCCACTTGCATTTACTGGTGTTTCAGCTGAAGATCCATTACCGTCAGTAAGGCTGAGATGAGCTCGTCCTGGTAATCATCTGTGTAGGCTGATATGGTCAGCAGGTGAGGAGAGATGTAAGATCAGCAGCAGAAACCCGTGTTGCTCTTAAACCCCAGCACTGGCAGCAGGGGCATGAAACCCCATCAGATCGGGTGAATTAGAGCACAGAGCTCAGTGGCAGCCAGTCGGGGAATCACTGGAGTTACAGCTCTGCCTCTCTCTCCCTGGTTGCGCTCTCTCTCTCTCCTCTCTAGCTCTTTATCTCTCTCTCCCTGTTGCTCTCCTATCATCTCTCAACCTCTTTTTCTGCCTCTGTCTGTAATTTTCTGCATCCTAATCTTCTACATTTCCTCTTGCTCGTTCACGTTGAGTTTCCTGTCTTCAAACCAAATCAACACTTCTGTCTCTCTCCTGTGTCTTTCTCTCTGTCGCTCCCTCGCTCTCCCTGTCCCCAGTTGCATTTGTGAGTGTGATGGTGTGTCATCTCTCAGTGGACAGCTGTGCCTCTTAAATCACAGCACAAACACATTCACTGACATTCACGTTACCTCCTATTTGCTCTGGCAAGAACCGAACTAGACAAAATTAGATCTGGATTGCAGCCTCTGCACAAATATTCAGACACTTCAGCACGCAGCGAGCGTTGTCAGAGGATGCCCATCGCTGTGGCATGGTTGGATGGTATTATGCATGAGCCACGGGCAGAAGGGCTGGCAGAACACGCCCCCAGCACAGCAACACAGGATGCACGAATGCACCCACACGCATGTACACACACATTAGAAGATGTAGCTGTTGCAATATATTCACATGGATTTTTTTCCTTTTTCATACGCGTGTGTATGTGCGTGTAAATGCATCGACTGTTAAGCTCGTAGAAACACATGGGTGGCTTGAAGGAGAAGCAAAAAATGAACAAAGGAAGGGATTGGAGAGATTATCATTTTTTATGATAAATATGATTAAGCTTACATGCAGCCTCAGTCCTGCAGTACCCTCTGTGGTCTTTGCTCTCCTGTCCATCCATGTTTACATCCCTTCTTCCCTCCGAAGGGCCTGACAATTATTTTAGTTCTGTCATGTTAAACCTGACGTCAGTTTGTGTCACCAGTTTATATTAAATTCATCATTATTGTTCTAAAGGTTTGCTGAGTTAACCTGGAGCGACTGCTGCAGGCAAACATAAATGCATGTACTTGCACACAAACACACACATAAAGACAAATCGACACATCGCACACTGGAGTGGTTCTGTACGCCTACACAGGCAAATACATCCTCAAATGTGTGATGACACCTTTGTATTTGCTAAGAGCCCATATGGTTGATATGCCCAGACAGTCGGCTGTGTTTGTAACGTGTAAACGTCTCCTCGAGTTACCTAAAAAACAGAGGAAAAAACATGTCCTCCTCTCACTAGGACGCCACATATTATCACCACGTGATCTCCTGTGATGCTTCAGTGCATGTGGAAATAACCTTAAGGGGAAGCTACATAGATGCTATCTGTGATGATCTCATTCACAAACTGTTTGCCTTTTTATTCTGTAGCCATTAAAGGCAGACGGCGTGGACGCCCAAGTCTGTGAATCAGATGAGTTGAGGCAACGCAGAAGCTTCAAATTGATCGATGAGGTCTAGCTACTAAAACTCTTGGATGAGTTTGAATCTCAGTGACCTTGACCTCAAGGTCAGAGGTCATGTTTTCTGAAAATCTTGCGAATGCGAGGATTTTCAAAATGCTATCATATGTGCTGATTTCAAATCTCATGAGGTCAGAGGTTCTTGTGAATGTGATAACTTGAGAATAAGGCGATGCAGGATTTTGACACCACAGAGGCGTCTGCGAGGAGGCTGAAACTAGCTGTTTCCAGTATTTCTATATTACTGAACAGCAGTGAATCAAGTCTAATGCAACAGGAAGACAGGAGGGAGAGGTCAGTCTGTGTGCTCCTGTTCTGTTCATCCTCTGACAATTCTGCAGGATGTTGACATGATCCGCCCGTGTGCTGTGTTGCTGCTGCTGCATGAATGCACAAACAAATGTGAAAATCACTCCTCTCTCTCTTCTCTGTGTATGCATGCATGCTTGTTCTGCCGCTGCAATGTGACTCGATGCATGTGCACGCTCAACAAATTATGGTTATGCACAAGAGCACTAACATTCAGATGCAGCCCTGCACTGATGGACATATACATTTACACAATCCTTATTAGACTCCCCAAATACCTGTGGACTTTAAGTCGATGTCATCTCTCCCTGCCTGGGATTGCACTCATACAAGATTGGTGATCGGATGGATTTAGAGTGGATTTTATGTCTCTTCACGTTTGGACTCATAAACCCAGCTCAGGGCATAAATACCCCCAAGTTCTTAAATCATACTTTAGGAAATTAAATGTTCCCCCATAGTACAGAAAATTCCTGAGCATTAGTGAGACAGATTTGGGCTTTTGTTCTGAGCCAGCTTCCACACAGCAGCCAAATCAGTGCACTTTTAACCCCTAATAGCATCTCGCACAGAGCAAACTCATTCATACTGGATTTATATTGACTTGATTTTCTTTCTGAGGTAACACACATGCCATCATATTAATGTCTCTATATTAGAAAATAATAATTTTAACTGGCATATACATTCACTCATCTGTCATCTTTTTGCGTTATAAAAACACCTTTACCTCCTTTTTCACCATTTCCTTTGTTTTATTACTTTTTTCTTTTTATTGTCTTGATGATGTGGACTCTTCCTGGTCTTGCATCACGTGTGTTTCCAGTGCTGCTGCCCAGCATCTTAAATTAGACTCTTCTCCTGGGTTTTCCATGTGGGTGTAGAAACGGTGGGCCGCTGAAAGGATCTGGCAAAGCTCATGATGGGATAAGCTGCACCTGTTCCTCTGGGCAAGAGCTAAAACAGGATGCAGCAGCACCCCGCTGCACTTAAATATTCACACAAACACATAATTATCCTGAAAGAAATGCAAAGCAAATGTTATCATCTATGAAGGCTTCATGCTTTAAATTAGCATTTTATATTTATATTTATTATCTTGATCCCATCGACACGCTACACTGTGTGTCTCTGTGCATAATCAGACAGAAACACAGAAGTGTGCCTTTCCATCAGGCTGAAACTAATTCAGTTTGCCTTTAATGCACCAGGAGAGGAGGAGGAGTGAGAATGGTGACTAAATGTGCGTCTGGTGAACTGTAGCGGTGGTTTTGGCCGCGCATGTTTAACTTCTGCTTCGTTTGGAATAAAATCTGTCACACACTCAGTGTTTGAATGCTGCCTTCTTTAGTATGTACAAATATCCACACTACTTGGACTCAAAACCATCTACACTCGCCAATCTTTCATGCTGTAGTTTAATATCCAGTTTGTTAAATCTATTCAGATGCTCCTTCTTTTTGATTTAGTTTGCTACCTGATTGCACTGCTCTTGGATAAAGCTCTGTGACGTGCTTCTAAAGATTTACAGACCACCTAAAGTATGACAAACCCCCACTGAGAGGAAGCTCGTCCTCCTGAGTCTTAATAGCAGGAGGTAGAGAGAGGAGGACGAGTAGGAGAAGAAGTTAAAGCCTGTGGTAAATGTGTCAGTCTTTCCGTAGTCAACTGAAAAAGCTGACGCATTTAATGTCAGCCGGTGTCTTTTTCCAGGCGAGGAATTCTGGTCAGATCTGTGCGTTTAAGGACCTGCTGCGCTGTGGCTTATGGACGTGAGAGCAGCTCAGTGTAGCAGCTCTGGAAGTGCACGTCAGGAGAGCAGCAGGGAAGCAGACTGAGGAGTGGATTTCATGTGGCCACAGAGAAAGAAGTCTGGTTTAGAATGATGTGAAATGTGTGGTTAGTGGCATCTGCACACATGGTAGACTTACACATTCAGCCTTCCAGAAAAACAAGCTGATGCATGTTGCTGCGGGGGCACGCTCGCCCTTGTAGCCTGGTTTGTCTGTTTTCGTCATTGGAGGTTAATGAATGATGCGTTCTGATGCTGCGTGTATATTAAGATTCTCTTGTGCCAGCGGGATAACTTTGTGTATAACAGAGATCACATGACCTGCTGCTGTCTGCGTCTCTTACAGCTGTGGGCATCCAGATGAAACTGGAGTTTTTTCAGAAGAAATTCTGGACGGCAAGCAGACAGGTACAAATGCATAAACACAGAATCTGCACCGTGCAAGCTCAATATAAAAACTGTAACTAATGTTGTTTATGTTTGTTTATGTTTGAATGTAGAAAAAATATTTCACATTTGATGAAATGTCCATAATAACAATTTGAAACTTCACACAAAAGGTCGTCGGTCTGTCCAATTAAATTTACTCTCCATTAGTTTTCCCATGCCGCAAGTCTTTTTTTTTTTTTTTT